GAGTTGGCGACAAGCAGATTGTAAGGACTTTTATAAAGCTTAGTATTCTTTTGAGATGTAACATCAACCTTCTTCTTATTTTTCTTTATTACTAGGTCATATTAATAATCTGTATAATACTTGTTTTTGGGCACTGGTTCATTCTGGAAAGACAGAAAGTGAAGCCGAGAACGCGTTAAGAGTAGTGTGTTTTTTTTTTTTTTTTAGGTTTTGTTTCATTTAAGATATTCATCATTCTAAGATAAGTTCATTCGATTTAGGGTACAATATCTTCTGATAAAAATGAATTACTTCATACATCATTCGATATAAATTATAATAATTTACCTGAAATGTATCGAAAAGGTTCTGTACTGATTAGAAAAGAGGTAATGAATTATCTTTTTTCAATAAATAAGTTGAGATATAGCTCACTAAATAAAACTTTACATTATATTAGGCTCATCTCATGTCTCATAATCAGAAAGGCGTCGAAGTCGTTAGAAAGAAAAAGGTTGTTACAACATTACATGTAGATATAATTCATGATAAATTTTGGAAGGAACATCCCGAATTAAATGTATCTGTGTAAATTGTAATTCCAAAATATTTATTTGTTTTAACTTCATTCAATAAAAAAGAAAAAGACAAAAAACCTTTTCCATAATATAAAGAGAATTTTTTTTGTTTTCATCTCGAATTCTCGAAGCTATTATTTCATAAACCGTTAAAATCATGCCCCCACGTTTGTTTCTAAAATCAAAATGATAACTGTGTTTTGCATTTAAATTTGTCCCTTGACGCATCCCAAATCACAATAGTTTCTTCTGTTAAAAGTAGGAATTCAAAGTATCCGGCTCTTTTGAACCCGTAGACGATGAATAGTCTATAGTACCTTCATTAAGCGCATTATAATTTAAAGGATTAATTTTTAATCTAGTGCTTTGACTAGTTGATATTGAATTAGTTCGATAATTGTTGGGAGAAGGAGATAATTCATTATTGCGTATTAGATTAGAATCATGCAAGTTTCTTGAAGGTGCATTACTT